TTAACCATATGAGGGTATTTTAGTCAACTCATTCAGTTTTTTAATGGGAGAATTTTAGTTAAGGATGTGAGAAGACACATAATTTCTTATGGGTCACTAAAGAATTTAAAACTTTAGTTCAATCCTCTAGGATTAAATTAAAATTAAATTGAATGTGAAACAGAAGAGAATACCCTTAGTTCAAATATTAAAAAACCATCAACCACCGTCACCAGATCACCAGTGTCATTGACCAAAGCCTTGCCGGCGACAACGACCACTGGACTTCCGTTATTAGAGCTTTGGCCACCAACTAGACTACCACTGGCGATGGTTGAAGATTTAAATTCTCCAAAGATGGCCAAGGGTGGTTGAAGAACCCATGACCCCTTGGCTCATCAAAATAATATGGACTACCAAGCCATTGAACCCATTTAATTATATAATACATAAAATCATATATATAATAAACCTTAATTTCAAACCAATTGATTATTATGTTACTTGTTAATTGCATAATTTTACTTGTTAATACTTTAACAGGACTTATTAATTACTAAACATTCCTTATTAACTCCATGACTCCCGCTACAAAACTACTTTACTTGTTAATCATATAACTATATTTGTTAATGCATTACTAGAACTTGTCAATTACTTAACTTTTCTTGCTAAGTCCGTGACTCCTATAACAGAACTACATTACTTGTTAATCACATAACTTTACTTATTAATATCTTAACAGGACTTGTTAATTACTTAACCTTCCTTGTTAAATATGTGACTCCTACAACAAAACTACATTACTTGTTAATCACATAACTTTACTTATTAATATCTTAACAGGATTTATTAATTACTTAACCTTTATTAACTCCATAACTCTCGCAACAAAACTACATTACTTGTTAATCATGTAATTATACTTGTTAATGCATTAACAGGACTTGTCAATTACTTAACTTTTCTTATTAAGTTCATGACTCCTACAACATAACTACATTACTTGTTAATCACATAACTATACTTCTTAATATCTTAATAGGGCTTGTTAGCTACCTGAACTTACTTGTCAAATTTATGACTCCTTCAACTAAACTACATTACTTGTTAATTATGTAACTTTACTTATTAATTATGCAACTTTACTTGTTAATTCCATGACTCTCTCAAAATTATCTGTATAATAAATCTCATTTTCAAACCACTTAAGTATTATGACAAGAGGTATACTTAGTAAAAGCCTAATATAGCTTGTCATTTTCTTAATTTTAATTGTTAATATTATATTTGTTTTTTAGAGCATTGCTCTCTCTCTCTCTCTCTATATATATATATATGCGTATATAATTATGTATTCAATTTGATTAATATTGATAAGGGAAACCCAACTGTCGTCACTTTCATTATCTGATAAACTCAATTTTTTATGCAAACTATATATTCATTTAACAAGTGGCAATAGACAATTAACAAGTATTGTTGAGGAATTAACAAATAAAGTTACACAATTAATAAGTAATTTAGTTGCTTTTTTGGAACAGCAGTTAAACAATTCTTGTTATATTAACAAGTCAAGCTGCTTAACAAGTATTGTTGCATAATTAACAAGTAAAGTTACATGATAAACAAGTAATGTAGTTCAGTTGAAGGAGTCATGGATTTGACAAGTAAATTCAAGTAATTAACATGTCCTGTTAAGGTATTAACAATCAAAGTTACGCGATTAATAAGTAATATAGTTTTGTTGTGGGAGTCACGGACTTAACAAAAAAAGTTAAGTAATTGACAAGTTTTGTTAAAGTATTAACAAGTATAGTTACATGATAACTAGTAATATAATTTTGTTGCGGGAGTCATAGAATTAATAAGGAAGGTTAAGTAATTAACAAGTTCTGTTAAGATATTAACAAGTAAAGTTACGCAATTAATAAATAACGAAATCATTAATCAACAATTTTTTTGAAAAATCTTAACAGAATATATCAGAAATATATCATTAATCATAGGCCTTAAGGGTGCAAAATTCAGTTTTAATTTTTGAGAAATTAGTTGAGGATCTTTCACTTGTTGATACCCTTCACATTTTAGGAATCCCTGTTCTTTGTTTCAAAGAGAAACTCTTCTACTGTCTTCATTCTAAGCATCACTCTCAACAAGTTTTAGTTCAGAATATTCACAAAATAACAAGTAATTTTTTTTCTGTAATAACAAGTAATTTTTTTCTGTAACTTTTAATACTATTTAAGATAGTTCTTTCTTTAATTTTCCCGATGTTTTTGTTCCTGTTGAACTTTGTGTATTAGGACTTTTTCTTTTTAATAAAATAAAAACTCTGCAACGATGTAAGTACAATTACAGGCTTGAAACTTGAATGTATAATTATTAAGAGATCAGAGATCACATGCTCATGTTTCCTTTCCCTACCGGCCCTTTTAACCTACCAGCATAAGAAAAATGAACTTTAACATTTGTTTTGCTGACTTTAAAATTTTAATAATGCAATTCAAATATAAAACAAAAATAATGTGAACATCTTTTGGATTATTAATTAATTTTATTTTCATTGGAACATAATTAATAAAAATTCAAATCGATCCCACAGTACATTTTCATAATTACTATATAATTCTCATTTTTATTGATGATTCAAAACAACCTATGCTTGGTTTTTTTTTGTTTTTTTGACCGAACAATCTACGCCTGATTGAAAGTGCCAAGGAAGAATCATTTTCTTTTTTATAAAGTATTCTCTATTTCTAAGAAGGAGTGTCAATAAAAGATCTTGAAAAAAAAATAATTTTTTAAAAGGATTTCTAATAAGTAATAATTAATTAATTAATAAGTAAAGTTATATTATTTTAACAAGTATTGATCCGATCTATCTAAAATTCTTGTAATATATTAAATTTTTTAAGTCATTCATTAATATTCTTCCTATATTTATTCAATGGGTGTCCTTTAATATATATATATATATATATATCATTTACTTTTCTTTATGAAAATCGTTAAATAATATTTAAGAAGTCTAAGACAAATTATCACACTTTAAGGATTCCAAATTATTGAATTTTATTGAAAATGGAGGACCTTGGTAGTTGGCTAGAATTAAAAAACTGAATGCAATGTTAACCCTTCTATCACATGACATTTTTAAGTGCACTTTTTATTTAAAAAAAAAATTATAAAATAAAGTCGGTGGGGGTTCGTGAGGAACTTTTTGTCCACCCATCATATGCCAGTTGTGTTATCCCATTGTAATTGGGTTGGGTCACCTTGACAACAAATGTTGATAAGGCTATTAAATTTCTTAACAAGCCCGTGGCTTTCGAAACATTGGGTATCACACACGTGACATACGATAAGTGGATAAAAGGATTCACGTTGCATTAATTAGTCAGCTCCTCGTGAGCCCCCACTGACTTTATTTTATAATTTTATTTTTTAAGCAAAAATTGTGTTTAAAAATGTCATATGATAAAGGGGTTCAAATTGCATTCAGTTTTTTTAATTCTAGCCAACGACCAAGATCCTCCATTTTCAATGAAATTTCCATAATTTGGCATCCTTAAACGTGATAATTTGTCTTAGATTTCTTAAATATCATTTTAACCATTTTCATAAAGAAAAGTAAACAATATATATACGTATATTAAAGGGCACCCATTGAATAAATATATGAACAACATTAATGAATGACTTCTTAAAAAAATTAATATCTTACAACAATAGTAGGTAGATTGGATTGATACCTGTTAAAATTGTTAATATATTAACTTTTCCTTGTTGATGATGTATAATAATAGATTGGATTGATACTTGTTAAAATACTAGAACTTCACTTGTTAATATATTAACTTTTACTTGTTGATGATGTATAATATATTTGGGTTTTGACAACAATTTAGTCGTAATTAACAACAATATATTCATGTTTTAGCATGTAAGACAAATATATAGGATGTGTTTAATTGTACAAGTATCAATCCTTTATAAGTAAGTATTTATTTGAGTTTTGACAACAACTCATTCAAAATTAACACAATCTATTTAGGTTTTGACAAGTTAGAAAAATAGATATGATGGGCTTAATTACATATATATGTCTTTCATCAACAAGTATTGACAATAACCTATTCCTGATTAACAACAATATATTCAGCCTTTTAACAACCAAAACACATGAAGTTTTAAAGCTCATAATTTGTAATTAACTATGTTAAATTAACAAGTAACATTAGTAAAATAATAAATGCCATTCAAGAATAATTAATAACACACTATTATGCTATAACATGGAAGTAGTTTAAAAGCTTGAGTACTAATTATATTTTTTGCTAGATATAATTAAATTGGCTCGTTGGCTTGGAGGCAACCAAGCTTGAGTACTAATTATATTTTATCTAAGGAGCAATAGACTACAGTGAAAATTCAAAATCATTGGTTCTTGAATGTTATAAATTTCCTTCTATAATCCTTGGTTGATATTTTCCCTATTTTATTCCATTTAAACATGTAAGAGCTTTTTTTTACAGGTTTAAATGGGATAAAATATAGCCTATATATGGAAGCGTGTTAGACCCGTGAGTACCAAGTAATTGTGAACAAAGCATTAACCAAAGGGAACATTGTATTTACTATCTTTGAAGCACATTATTTATAAAAAAGAATAAATAGTTATTAATGAGAACATGTTAACAAACTTCCGTTTACTAAGTAGAAGATATCATGGTAATCTAATGTCTACTAGTTAAAAACTTAACGAAACTTGTTTACTTTAGTAAAAATCACCTGTGATCTTAACGGGTCTTCATCGAAGTAGATGATTGTGCAATATGACTTTTTTCTCAATGGTAGTTTAGTCTTTTGCAACCTAATCTAATTTCATTTAGGTTTCTTTAGAGTGATTTCAGAATTATACGGTTCTTTTTCATAAATAGTGTGCTTCAGAGGTTCTTAAATGCGTGATGGATGATAGATTTTTGTTTCATAGCTTGTTTGTCAATAGGGTTTTTAAACTCAACAAACAAGATCAGCCTTTATTTTGCTCCACATTTTCCCTGAGAAATATTCAGTTTTGCTTTCTTCATTCTTGATCTTGGTGCACTGCAACTGGTAAATCCTCTCTTCTTCCTCTCTTGGTCTTGTCGATCTGTTTTCTGATAATCAAAATCAGTCATCACTCCCTCACGGTCGTCTTTATTGTTCCTCTCATCTCAAGAATTTGGCTATATGGATAAAAAGGTAACTTTCTTATTCTTATTCTGTATTTTTCCCTTTTTATTTTACAAATCAAGAGTGTTGATCATCATTTCCTTAGCTGGTATAGTTCAAACTCAAGATCTAATGAATGGAGGAACGTACTTGTTTCTTTTATGGGTTAAACACCATTTTTTCTCATAAACTCTTTTTGAGGAGCATTGAATAGAAGGGTGGGACAATATTTTCATAAAATAATTTTTCCAAGAACAAATTTGTCCTACAATTAGAGACCCATCATCTTCTTCATTATTGGCTATTGTAGAATAGTTGTGGGGGCCACACAGGATAATAACAAGGCATTTTGATCAAGGGCGGACTCAAGCTTGAGGTTGAGGGGACCAATTTTTTTCTTTAAATATACTCCCTTTATTGAAAAATACAGTACATTTTCAATCGAATCATAACTCTCACTGAATTAATTAGTTGTCTTTAAATTAATATTATCTTTTCATATTTGTTCTCATTTAATAAAAATATGGGGAAATCACCCTCAGATCTTAGACAAATCACTTCTAACATGTTTTATCGAAACTAAATAAATTTTAAAACTCATTAAATTTATTTAAAATTTTAACAAGTTTTTAATTTCATATCCCCATTAAGTATACTTATTTTTTTGTGCCATGAAACGTATATACTTTAATAGCATACTTCTCTCACTAATGTTTAATAAAAGATGAAAGAAAAAATTCATAATAAAAATGTTATATTTGTTTTATAAAATGACACAATAATAAAAATATTATATGTGTGTACTTATTTTGTCTTATTTGGAAGAGAAGGCGGTTGACGGATTTCATGGAACTAAACATTAAGAGGCCCACTTCATAAATGAGAAGAGGTAGGGAGTTTGGGATCACCATACAAGTGATTCTGATCCCTTTTAACCATCTGACATGGACCAAAGGAGTTAGAAGTGGCAGTGACCTCAGGAAGCGGGTATTATTTTAACACTGAAACGATGATTGCAAAATGAGTCCGAATGCCTTGCTATCATTGTTTTTGGGTCTCATAACAATTTTACGTCAATAGATAATAGAGACAGTGATGGGTCTTTGATGGAAGGGTAATTTTGCTCCTGAAAAAATTATTTAAGGAGAGATGTTACCTCACCCTTCAATATAGGGTACCAAGTACTTCTAAAAAAGATGTTTGAGCAAGAAAATGGTCTTAAGCCTTCTTTTTAATAGGTTATTTTAACTTAATATGCATTGGAATTTTGCTCTTTATTCTGCTCCTTTTCATTTTCCCTGAGAAATCTTCAGTTTTGCTTTATCCGTCATTGATATTGGTCTTCCATAAAAGTAGGTGCCACTGCAATCGATAAGTCCTCTCTTGGTCTAGTCGTTCTGTTTTCTGATATTCAAAATCAGTCATCACTCCCTCACGGTCATCTTTATTGTTCCTCTCATCAAAATAATTTGGCTATAGATAAGGGGGGAAAAAGGTAACTTTCTTATTCTGTATCATTTTTTTCTTTGTATTTTACAAATCAAGAGTGTCGTGTTAATTATTTCCTTGTTATAGTTTAAGACGTGGTGATTGGAAGAATGCTTTTGTTTCTTTTATTGGTTATTCTTTTTATATGAGTATCTAATTGGTTTGATTCATATATTGTCGGGCTCAATTAAAGGTAGCTTTCCTAATGACGTTTTCCACATTTACACAAATTTGAGCTCAAGCCCTTATACTTAAGCAGCTATGGCCCATTCCATTAGGACCGACACAGGTTGTTTATCTATTATTTTAGCTTAAAATGCACCGAAATTTTGCCCTTGCTGTTATGGAAAATGCTAATTTCATGATTACCAACAAATTGGAAGGATAGCTGCGAATCAACAAAAATGTAGGTTGGTGGCTTTTGCAGGTTTAAATCAGTACTGATGGCAAGCTCTTCATTAAAAGCAGTATTTTGTTATATTCACACAAGAGGAAGATTTGTTAAGGATTCAGAAGGGAAGATGCAATATGAGGGAGGAACAGCATATGCTAAATTGATTAGAGAAGGCATGAATTATCAAAATTTGTCAACCATGGTATCATCACTACTGGGCACTCAAAGTGATGTGAAGTTGAAATTCACAGTCAAGTTTGATCGCAATATATACATAGATCTTGTCAATGATGAAGGAGTTGAACAACTGATAAATTTTAATGATGATCAGGCAAATGTATATGCCGTTGAAGGAGATGAAATTATAAAGTAAGAAATGGATGAATCATTATCATGGTAAATTGTCATGCTTAGTCATAATTGATGAAATTTTTTGTAACAACTAGCTCTAATAAATTATGAATTACTGTGAATGCAGGACATCTGCAGCATCTCCTAGTTCAGATGAGGAGCTTCAAGCTTCATCTTATGAAGGTTTATAAATTTAAGAATATATTAGTCTCAATAAATCAATTTGAGGGATGGGTGTTTTAAATTACTATGAAGGTTATTAAGTAATTTTTCATTATAAAATAGAATGCTTCATAATTAAATTTTTTTTGAGATGCATGGCGCATGTTTTATCTTATTTAAGCAATAAGATCTTTATTAAATATACATTTAATTGGTTCGAATATTATTATGAATAAAAATGATTTGGTAATAAATTAAGGGTTAAATTATATTTTTATGCTGGGTAGTATTTTAGAGGAATTATGAATGCTTTAAAAAAATTGTGGAGCAATATGTAACAAATAATATTTTAAAATTGCAATTTGGTCCCATTTTTAGCAATATAAGTTGTTCCAAGAAAATGTCAAAAAGAAAAAAAGGAAAAAAGGCTAGCTTTGCACCGATTTTAAAATATTAAAAAATATATTGTTCCACAATCTTCTTTAGATTGCATATAGCACCTTGAGAAACATTTGAGGCAAACTATACTTTAACCCAAAAATTAATTTTATCATTGAAAATAATAAATAGGACTAAAATAAAATGTTTGGAAATGAATTATTTCACGTATTGGCCAAAAAAATAATAAACTATTTCAAGTAAATAATTCTATGGCTTTTATAATTTATCCTTTATTTCTGTTCAAGGCGATGATGGAGTAATTTGGCTTCTGCCCAAACTGGAAGGGGATAGACCAGGACCCGTGATTGAAAGGAGAGATCATATAACAATCAATGGAAACAAAAGTGATGAAGGTAAGAGATTTCCTCACTATAATTAATAACACATGAGTCCTACCCGGGTACACAAAATGAATGAATACTTTTAATTAATTTATATATGCATGATTGGGATAATGGGATTTAAACACTAACTCAAGCAAACATGCCAGATTTTATTCAATGGTACGTCTTCTTCTCATCGCCAAGTGAATCATTTGAATTTTTCCAAGGTATGCCAAATTTCATTATTATACTTTGATTTGAGCATCCTATTATTGTTCTTTGCCATTACACAACAAGAATCCATGCTCTTCTTCTTTCTATTTATATATATGATGGGGATTTAAACATTGTTTCCAGCAAACAAGCAGTTGACCAAGAATGTCTTCTCACTGCCAACTAAACCATCTACAGTACAAGTATTCCAGCAGTGCCCTAAAGATTCGGACAATAGAGATAAAGAGAAAGAGACCGGATTCAAGCAAAAAGATGAGCAAAAGGTAGAAGTGTTGGAGGAATCTTATTCTAACAATGGTGTCATTACCCACCCCAAAGTTTCGATATTAAACACAAAAAATGAACAGCCAATTAGGGGTTCAGCTTTGACTGCCGACATGGAACTGCAAATTATTCCTCCCTTGTCAGGATCTGAACATGAATCATATTGGAAACAAAAGTTAGTAGTACATGGAGCCTGCAAGGATTGGAATTTTCAAAAGGGTGCAAAAAATGTCAATGTTTCTGGTCAAACAAGAGACACTATACTTGATGATGCCATTTTCAAGCAATGTACCTCACTTGGCAATACCGCCTTGCACGTAGCAGTTAGCAATGGAAATCATGATATGATAGAGAAGGTTGCTCAAAATGCTCCCCATCTTTTCACTGTTGTTAACAACAACAATGATACTGCACTACATGTTGCTGCAAGAACAGGACATGGCTCTACCATTAAATTCCTCTTGAACAACTTTTTGCTTTTTGTAAGAGGTGCTATAAATGGTCATGATCATCAGTCTAGTTTAGAAATGATACTTATGGTATCATTGGCTTTGTTTCGAAATAAACAAGGAAACACCTTCCTTCACGAGGCCTTTATGTTTGGAAGTGACAATGGCTCTTTTGATGCTTTTGATACATACAGTGGTTCAGAGTTTGAGGCAAGATTTAAGAGAATTGTTAATCATTTAATACCATTTGCAATCAATGTCGAAGGGAAATCATTGTTGTACTTGACCATTGAGTTTAACTGTAAGGATGTTCTTGATAAGTTGATGAATTTCTGTGTCGAGGGTGAGTTGAAGCCTCAAGGAAAATCACCCTTTCTTCCAATACTCATCAACAATTTAGGTAACTCTACTATTGGCTCATCAAGGGCAATATTATACGTATCTCACTCTCTCACATACATATATTCATCAATACAATGTATTTTCTTAATTTGAACATTGACAAAATCATGATTAATATGGTCTTTTTTATAATAGATATGCTACAAACCATATTTGAAAAGAAACATGATTGGGTGCACTTGAAGAATGAAAAGGGATGGCTTCCACTTCATTGTGCAGCAATGTTGGGCTATCTTAAAGGTGTATCATTCTTAGCAAAGAAATGTCCACCCTGTATCATGGAAAGGGATAACAATGGCTTCTTACCAATTCATTGGGCATGCTTTAATGGTCATGTTAAAGTAGTTCAAGAGTTACTTCAAAAATGGCATTGGGATCCCATCGAGGTGCTTGATGACAATGGCCAAAATTTGCTCCACCACGCATGTCAAGGTGGAAGTTATGAAGTAGTGAGGTACTTCCTCAAACATCCGAAGTTTAAGATAATGATCTATCAGAAGGATAACAATGGAGATACTCCCTTGCATTTAGCCACCAAGATGAGTCGTCCCAAAATTGTGCATGCCTTGACGTGGGACAATAGAGTTGATCTTTCTTTACTTAACCATAATAGCCTAACTGCTCTTGACATTGCAGAACAAAAACAGGGCAATAATAATCTGTCCCTTTCACAGGTAAGTTTCTATGCACAGTTTGAAAATTTCATTAGCAGTCTTTCTTGTGTTAAAATATAACTCAATTCTTTTAGTGACACCAGTCAAATTATTTATTTGCAGCGTCTTACATGGAAGTGCATTGAAATCTGCTAATGCACCTCAAAGCTTCGTAAGATTTTATTTAGATGTTGATACCATTTATAAAACTCCTACCACTGAACAATATAAAGATAGAATTGACACTTTGATATTAGTTTCAACCCTTATAATAACAACATCATTTGCTGCTGGGTTTACCGTGCCAGGGGACCAAGATCAAGGCATTCTTGCCTTGCTAAATCACCATATGTTCCATTTGTTCATTATCTCACTTACAATTTCTGTTTTTGGTGCTATTAGTACAACCATCATTTTGATGTGGGCTCGACTAGGGGACCTCCGTTTAGCAACTTTTTCCCTCAAACTTGCAATGCCTCTTCTAGGTCTATCCTTGACAACACTGTCTCTTGCATTTTTTGCTGGTATGTACCTTACAGTGAGCAAACTTAGTTGGTTAGCCACTACATTTCTAGTGATGAGCGTGGTTTCAATCCTCATGGTTGTGTTCTTGTTCACCTTGCTTTTATTTCCCTCCTCATCAAGCTTACCATGCCTTCGATATATTTCCTATTATCCCTTTCTTTTCTTTGCAAACATAGCTGAAGGAAAAATGGATGCCTCCAATAAGCAGCGTTCTACATCTATCATCTCATGCTTTAATTGAAGATTAATGTTTATGAGTACAATGAAGAATCACATGCTTCAATCTTGTTTTTTTTCCTTTTTATATGCTTGTTGTCAAAATAGAGAATGTATTATTAGCTAAACATGTATTGTTCAACTACTTTGAGATATTCTAAAATATGTAAAATATTGTTCTTTAGGAAAATGTGTTATTATTATGTTTAGATAGGTCAACTGTATTCAATGAATTTTACAATAATATAGTCAACTCTAAGTTTGTCTTAGATTCTATTTCTCCTTTTGTTGAAAGCATCCAAAATCACAACACTACCTATGACCACTCTCAAGCTCATTAGATTCTTGTCATGATTGTGATTACATGACATTGGAACTTTATGTTGAAACTAGGGGAATTCTATGTCCTCTTGCATTTTCCATTTAAAACATACTTGTAAAATTTATTTTGGTTAATTTTTATCTTGTAATCATTCTATATAAAATTTCAAATTATATCACTCGATAATTAACCTTTGCAAAAATAAGAAATTCATATATAACTAAATCATAGTTGCTAGGTAAGAATAATTCATTGCATATTTTTTTTATCCATAAAAAAATGGTAAAGTTAATGCTCTCATCTCTTAGGTCAAAGTTATTTCTTAAAAACATTGTGCTATAAATTTACAAGATTATAAGTTGTGGAACTATGGCAATATTGTTAAGCGACCTTGAGAATAAGAAGATACTTTGTATGTTAAATGGTGTTAACACAAAGTGTAAGCCAAGTCTGCAATAACAAAAAACCAAGAGCCTAGAACACAAGCCTTTGTTAGTTAATATTTCATATATTGTAAATTGTTGTTTTTTGATTCTTTTGTTTATTATTTACATGTGGCTTACACACATGTAATCCAAGGTTACGTGCCCTAACTATATAAGGAGTGAATAACATCTGGATAGGTGTGCCTTCAAAAATCCATACCTCTCCTGTGCAAAACTTATCTTCGTATTAAAGCTTAGGCTTTAAAAAAGGCTTCATCAACTTGAAGCTCAAGGTCCAACTCCTTAGCCTCATCACCATTATTTGAGTCTACCTCTATTTCACTGCTTGCAGCATCTAATTTACTCAAGCTAGCTAGCACTAATGGCTCACTAAGTCAAGCCTTTTTTGTCAAGTTGGACAAAACTAACTTTACTATATGGCAGATGCACATTCTTCCCATTTTTCCCATTATCAAGGGATTCAATACAACGAAACAGCACATTTATCATGCAATTGTTTTGAGAGAGAACATAAAAAAAACCGTACGAAAAGAGATTTCTCTCAAATTTTCTCAAAAAAATTTGAGTTAAAATTCATAACAATATTTATTTTCTCTCAAAATATTTTAAGAGAAATAGTTTCTCTAAAATTAATCTAAGAGAAGATGTTTCTCATAGAATAATTTGAGAGAACTTCTCTTGGCAAAATCTAAGACAAACTTTTCTTAGATTTATGTGAGAGAAATATTCTCTCAAAATTCTCCATGAGAACCTTCTCTCAAAAGTGTTTCGAGAAAATTTTACCCCTTCCAATCCCCTCCCATATATGAGCCACATCACTTTCCATACGCGCGCAATGTCGTGCCTGTATTTATTTTACATATATATGTCGTAACTTAGTGTCACACCCCAAAAATAGAGTGTGACTGGCACGGGATGAAAACTGTATCACACATCCCTTAGGCCTCAAATTGAGAAATTTTTTAATTTTCAAAATATAATTAGATTTATATTGAAATTACAACATTCTCAATAGTATTAGTTGTGATGAAAGTTTCAATACTTTTGTAAAAATTTTAGCAGAATCTCCCTATATATAGAATCTCCTAAAATCTCTATAATAGAAAATATTATTATATGCAATCAATAGTTTGAAACTACGTTCCCCAATAACAGACAATCAATATAAAAAAAATCAAGATCTTGTCTATAATTAACATGGAGCACCTAAACATAAGTCTCAGAATAAAATGTAAAATTAAATATTTACATAAAAAGAAAATGAATTTTCAAATATAAATATTTACCTAGCATAGTTGTAAGCCCCTTAATGATAGGCAAGAGGTCCAGCATTAGCTAATGAATCTGAGACCAAAATATTCTTTCAGTGAATAGTATCCCCAATAATACAAGTTAAAAATAAAAGTAGTAAACTCAAGCAATTATATAAAATAATTGAAAGAAGAATATTTAGTATAATAAAAAAAAGAGGATAGTTCAAGATAATAAACTTAATCTTAAATCATAATCATAACCATAAAATAAGAGTGAATTAAAAATTATTTTATTTTATCGTGCTTGGGGAAACAAATGATTCATATGTGAATAGAAATTGTACATTTACTAACTGAACCATTAAAATTTTACTTACACAAGCTGATTAAAATTTAGAATTTTAAGGATTTAACAAACAGGTAACAAATGTGGACACACAATCTACGAAGATAAAATAACCAAATGTGGCTTATGTCATGAAAATAAACGTGGACACACAATTCATGAGGGTAACTAACTAGATGCAGCCGAAGCCATGAATTAAACGCAGATGCAAGACCCATGAATAACAGATGTGAGAACATAGCTCACAAAAATCAAACTAGTTAGTCATTAACCAAGGGGTGCTAGGGGCTAACTGAACTATCATTAGCAATAGTGTTCTGCTTAAAGTTATCTCAAAATCACTTTTCACACATCTGAGAAAAATAGTCATTTCTAAAATATAATTTTTCATTTTTAATACCAAATTCGCATGAATAATCCTAAGCTTCAATTCAAAACTTTTCAAAATAAAATTTCATAAATAATGTCCATTATTACATTTGGTGAGTGGCCAAAATTTTTTAGAATTAAATAAATAACAAGGCCTTTGTCAATCTTAAAAGTATATCTCTTAAGAAAAATACAAACACAAATCATAATTCAATTATCCCTTAACATTATTGTATAATCTCTAAGGAAAATAAAATAATTTAACTAACAACGTAACCAACATATATCATAGCTATTAATAAAATAATACATAAAAGTAGAAAAATTTCAATGAAAGGCTTTTATTGATAAATAAACTAGGGTGCTATTCCCTTACTTGCTAAATTTTAATATCCAATTATATATCTTCTCCCTCAATTCTTATCAAGGTTCTCATATTCCATATACCCTATAAGAATACATGTAAATGAAACTTCAATTTACCTCCTATAGTTATATAAACTTCATTCCACTACCAACACAATTCCAACCAATTGCAAGTATTTAAAATTTCAAAAAACAAAAATTCATATCTTAATGATTTTTCAATCATTATCACTTACCACTAATTTATGTCATAATACTTTAATCATGACGACTATTTAAATGAGATATGATTTTTTTATACCTTATGTACGCACGCACCTTGTGCAAAATTTCCAAACTATTTAATAAAACTTTTTAATCAATAGCTTCTTGCCCAACAAATTTTGAAACACCCATAATTAAATTTATCATGTTTCTTTTACCCATTTTCTCAAACAATTTAAATGCATTCTCAAGACCAAATAATAAAATAACACCATAGTTATAAATTATAAATTAAACAATATAAAACTTCCAAAAATTCAACTAAATAAAATTTAAATCAATCATGCCTCTCGTCACAATCAATAGAATTTCAGAAAAATTCAAACTCAAGTAAGACTCTTCTAATAAGCATTTTCTCAAACACCTTAGGAACATTAATCCTTAAGCTAATATTAATCTCTTCCTCTTTAAATTTTACTTTTCTAAAATCTTACAATTCAGCATTGTCTTCAATAATCCTATCAAATTTGATTAAAACTTAAACCCACACCAACATCTTCTTTTACAACCACAATTTCCAACTTAAATCAAACTTCCCCTTCCTATACACTTATATATATGGTCACGTACAGCAGTAGCAGAGGAGAGAATTTTTTTCAATTTCAATCATCTAGTCACACACCACTCACATAGGCACAACAAGGAAGAGAGTTCGAAGGCCCCTCCCTTTACAGCAACAATCCCTTCAATACACACACGCAGAGGACCGAGAAAGGAGGAAGAGATTTATAAATCCTTACCTCTAATCAATAATAATGAGAGCTGGGAAACAAAACGCTGCTGCTGAATAAGGAAGAAGAAGATGATGATTGTTGACTAGAGACGTGCGAGACAGGGGATGACAGAGGAGAAACGGATGGTAGTGAGGAGAATGTAGAATCGACAGTCAAATAAGGACCCACGAGTTGCGGCTGGACCACTACACCTGCTTGCTTTGCCGGCGATCTGAACAGTGATGGAAGGAGGCTAGAGAGGACGAGCACTCTCCCTCTTTCTTGGATCTGGAATTTTTGAAAATGAGAGAGAAGAGCAACTGTCGGTGAAGGTGAAAGAGAAATGCCAAAATGCTGTCATTTTTCGTACGGATGAAGTTAAAAATCTAATAAAAAAAAACTTTAAAAAAAAATTATGAGAAAGAGCACATAGGACAATAACCAAAAAGTACATAAGGAAAATTATAAGAAAGGATATAAATTTTTTTATAATTTAAAATAAAATAAAATTAAATTTTTTCTTCGTAGAATTTAAACTCTACCTTCATAAAAATTACTGAAAAAATTTTAATAATTTAACACTCTCTATTTGTTATAAATTAATTTAAAATTTAAGGTTATTACACTTTGAATAGAACTCATGGCCTTAGCTCCACCTTTAGTGCCAGCCTTTTTACCAGTTGAGTTATAAGGAATTTGATATCTTAAGTTAACAAAATTAAATATATATTATTAAACTATACATTTTTATAAAGTTTATATTATTTTATTTAAAAAAGCTAGTTTATAACATAGAATATTTTTAAATGATTTTAATTTATTTGACCTTAAAAAATAATTTCAATTTTTTAATAATTTAATCAATAATTTTATAATATATTATTTAATTTAACTTGATTTAAAAGTAAGTTATATTAATTTTTAAATATTTTAATTTATATACTTTATTTTTAATTTTAATTTTTAAATCTCCTAAAAATATTTTTATAAAATTATTTAGTATAATTTATAATTATATTTAGATTTTTATTCTTTTTAAGAAAACCACCTTTAGTTGTAACAATTTATCATCACTAAAGGAAAATTCAGACAAAATTATTTTACACCATAAGTGGCGAAAATGTTTTTCATACAAAAGAGAAAAAATTTGTCTGGCGAGCCTATAAAAATTATGAACCGAAGCAATATGCTTGCATGTTATTATTGGAATCAATAAGACTACAACTTAATATTATTTTTTAGAGTCACTTAATGTTGTATATTTTCAAACTGAATAAGTTATATTATATATATAATTATATAAATAATTTTTCTCAACTGGAAAAGTGAAATATAATGCAATTTAATTCTATAGATAATATTTTTTTAGCAAACTTATGTACTAAAGATGTTAATGAATGTATGATAAATTAATATTGATATTATTATATAAATCATAATCATATATTGTATAATACTTTAACATATATCCTCTCTCTATATAAATAATTATTAGTTTATTAACACTATTTAATGTTTCTGACATCTACTCCCTATTATTTTTTTTTAATTTCATGTAAGTATCTAGCATAGGTTCAAGCAGTTATTCAAACTTTAGTTCATCACATTGTAATATTAGACCTAATCCCTACTAGCATCTACCCCCTCTTGCTTGACAATTACTTTTGTCGCATTTTGGACCATATCATTCAATAATATACATAATATGAGTATTGAATAACTAATAATATATATATATATATATATATACGTATTCTATAGCTTCTCTTACAAAAATCCGAGAGAAAGTTCTCTTGACTTTTTTTTTTGAGAGAATATTTCTCTCAGTATTATTAGAGAGAACTCATTGAATTTCTCTTAGATTTTTTGAGAGAAAGCTTCTCTTGGACAAATATGAGAGAACCTTAATATGTTTTTATTTTCATTTTTTTATTATCAATTTTTTGTTTTTTTCAAACAATTCTCTTAGATTAAATTGAAAGAAGCTTTTCTCGTAATGAAGCGGATTTTTTCTATCTAATTTTCTCACATCGTTCTCTCAAAATTTCTCTCTATTTAAGTTTCTGTGAGAAATTTCATGATTAATTTTTTAGAAAAGGCTTTCTGAGAGATATTTTGAGAGAACTTCTCTCCAATATTTTTTGAGAGAAAATTATTATTTTCTTGTAGTGAGCTTAAAGGCTTCATTAATGGGATTAAGGCTTGTCCAAGTTAGTTTATTACAGCTGGCAACACTATGAAGATCAACCCTAAGTTCAAATACTAAGTAGCAATAAACTAGATACTCTTTGGTTGGTTGTTGAATACCGTATCTCTTGAAGCTTTTTTGTAAATCCTGGATTTCAAATCTAAAAATTTTAAGTCTTGAGAAGGGTATTTTGGTTAATATAAGTAAATTTATAATTTAACGATGTTTTAAGAATATTAATATGGTTATTAGATCCGTAGATAGCCTTAGAAGAGAACTAGGTTGGTGTTTGAGCGAGTTGTGGTATGAAGAGAGAGACTCAAAACATGTGAAACTCTCTGTGTCATGTGCTACAACGCAAGTGCAAAATCTGCACTTATTAGACTCGCAAAACTAGACTGAAAATTAAAAGTTGGATAGAGTAAAAGTGAGAAGATAACAGAGGAGAAACTCATAGTTACTATGGCTCAACTTTGTGAGTGATTTAGATGCATTTGGAGCTTGAATCATCATTAGGTAAGTTTTATATTCCCTCTCATTTCCCTTTATGTAAAAATTTTGACTTTTTAGGGTAGTGGTGTTTGTGATTTTAGTTTTCTAGGGTTTAAACCAAATCGATGACTTAGTTAAGGTCTTAGGGAGTTAAATCAAGCCTCTAAACCTAAGATTATAGGTTATGTATGGATTTAAAATTTTTTGTTAGGGTTTGAACGAATCATAAGTATAATTTGAGAGTTTTAGAACAATGTGAGTTGATGGTTGGTGATGTTGGTGTGTTTAAATGTTAAATAGAATTGTTGGAGTGTGTTGGAAGGGTTGATGTTGTTAAATAAAGATTTTGGGTGTAATGGGTACTCAAAATCTAATTATTTCAAGGTTTACTTAGAGTGATAATTGATAATTATTCCTTAATTATGTAGATTAAGTGTTACTTGAGTGTTATCATGCGTGTAGGATATGAAGCAAATGTTAGACCATGGTAACCCTTTTTTTAATAAAAAGGTTAAGATAACAAAGTAATTTACTATATTTGATTAAATGCTTAACTATTTGTGAGTAGATATGTATATTGCCTATGTGTGTCTTGAAAGCATTGCATATTGTGAAAGGAGGTTTTTGTGCACTTGAAATAATTTGAAAACAATGAGAATTGTGAAAGTTTCCTATGTGAGTAAATTGTAGTTTTGGTAGAAGTATGTGATGTGTATGAGAAGTGTGAGCATGATCATGATAGAGGGTGGGAGTTCACCTGTAGGAAAGAGTAGTAGAAGTTCGTATGGCAAATATCTTCTTAGTGCCCAGTAAGATATGGTGTTAGAGATTATCTCCTTTGTAACTTGTGTGGGGTATATATTGTTGGAGATTGACTCTCCTTAGCATCTGTGATACACTGTTGGAGTAATGACAACCCGATTCATATGTGGGGGAAAACCATAATTTAAAAGTGGGATATGACACCTTTGGCTGGGTCATCCTACCATTGAAGGTGAGCTTGGGCCATTGTGAATGTGCACTTGATCTAATAGAGCTTATGATTTCATTCGGGATGATATGGAGGCTTGGATGGTAGAGTGATCATGCTATAGTAAAAATTAATTGTGAATATTGAAAAGATTATATTGATTATGCTAAACATATGTTTTTGCATATATTAGCTTTGCTTCCTTACAGTCGTGTATGTCAATTGATAGTAGTGAATTATTCTATTATTGGATATTTATCTCACCCTGTGGTTATATTTTATAGGTGAGAGCTTTGGTAAAGGCAAAAGAAAGGAAGGGATTGCCAAGGACTGAGGGCTATGTTTGTATAGCTCTTTTCCCTTGATATTTTGGTTTTGTAATAAATGATTTGGATATTATGCCAACTTAAAAGCATTTCATTGTTTTGCTATCACTTGCATGAAAATTTTTATACATGAGTATGTATCACGACCTAGAATGATGTGTATGTATGGAAATTGTTGTGAAAGGTCAAGACATTTATGTAAGCGATATGTTTGTGTAAATTTATATGTTGGAATGATTAAAATGACATTTATGATGAATTTAGCCACCCCTTAATATTGTTATGAATTGGGGCTTTAGTAGTTGGTTTGTGCATGAATGGTTAATTATGTGATATGATTGGCCTTTTAGGTTGTATGTGGTCTATTTGAATTGGTCCAAGTGGTTCAAGGGCTACAGGCACTAGGTTGAGTTTTAGACATCTTTGTTTATGTTGTGCGTTAAAAATGGACTATTTTGGGTTTGGGTATCCAACTTTTTAATGGTTAAGAATTTAGGTGTGAGTCTAGTTCTAATAGCTAGAGGGCTTGAAAAGCTACATGTAGATACTTGAATCGCTCAAATTGGACATTCGATGGCAAAATGACACACTTTGAAAGTTGGTTCGGGGTGCTGTCATGATAGCAGGTGCATACCACAATGCATTTGCCAACAAGAGCCTTGCCTCTCTATGCCATCCATCGCTACAAGTAAGACTTGCATCGTGATGGATGGTACAAATTATAGAATTTTTCAGATTGCTCCAGTTGTGGTTTTAAGTGTTGATTTGTGTTTCCATGCTTTTTTTTACCTTTTTTAACTTATTTTAAACTATAGTTTGAGTTCAAATGACCTTTTAAAAAGGGTTTTCTTGGGATCCCTTGATTTTCAGCTAATTGCTTTTAAACCCTTAGATTGTGATAACTTTTAATTAGGATTTTGATTAATCTTGATTATCACAACAGCATGTTAGAGTGTTGTCCTGGTATGTCAAGGCGAACATTACATTTTTCATCTTAGATGACTAACATTTCTTCATCTTTTGAAGTATGTCTCATAGTTAAGCAGCTCTTGCTAGAGCCCAATTAAAGGCTTGGGTTCTTTTGCTTCATGCAAAACTTCAATGGACTCATAAAGGGTCCATGACCATGGATGCTTACCTCTCCAAGATGAGAAATCTCTCTAAGCAACTTGCTGGTGTAGGTAACTCTATACCTCAAGCTAACCTAATCGTCTAAACTCTTGTTAGCTTAGACATAAAATATAACCTTATTGTGATTAAGCACTCTTTTGCAGCTAAGATTTTAACTTTGATAGAGTTCCACACCTCATTATTGACC